AGAGAGAGAGAGAGAGAGAGAGAGAGAGAGAGAGAGAGAGAGAGAGAGAGAGAGAGAGAGAGAGAGAGAGCGAGCGGCGACCAGGCACCAAGGGGGAGCAAGCGAGGACAGTACCTGTTTGGGGGCATGGCCAGGCTGCCATTGCTACCGGTTCGGAAAGGTATGACAGATTTTTACTACCTATTTGGCCGAACCGGACTGAACCGGTAGGAACCCACCTCTGCAGTGCCAGGTGGCTGTAACTCCTGGAGGAATCTCCTCCAGAACATCTATCTGTCCCACTCCCAACGTCCATCTGGGCTGGACCAGCTTCTCCTTGAGTTTCAGTTCAGCCATCCACTCTGTTTCTTCCCAGCCAGATTGAGCCAGGGGAGGAGTGGATTCAGCAGCACCCAGGTCCTCCTGGTCACTGCACTGGTTAGACATTGTTTGCGCAGCCCCCTCGGTAGTGTTAACTCCAGGATGGCTGCTAAAGAGATCTTGCTTAATGTCAGACATGCCTCCTTCAAAATCCAAGAAAGGAAACCCCCAACTCCATTGTTTTAGAGAAAAGGTACTTTTACTGGATATGAACTGATAGCAATGAAAGTAAAACAAGATCTGAGGATAAAGGCTCCCCTCTACCAGGGGAATGTATCTGGAAAAGAGTAAGCACATGTACAGGTTAGTGCAGATGTGGTCAGGGTCAGTTCCCCAGGGTTCCCTCCTTGGGCTTCTGGGAATTCTCCCTATGAAACCTGTTGATCAGCCTTTTTGCTCTCACGTCTCTATTCCTCACCCACGAGGCTTCAGACATGGGGTATCCCTTCCAGCAGACTAGATATTGAAATTTCCCCTTATACACTCATGAATCCAACATCTGGTCTATTTTGTAATGGGATTCCCCCTCCAGTATTATGGGCCCGGGTGGGATCAGTGTTGTGGCCCACCAGCGGCCAGCAGAGCTGGCAGCAGAGTCAGACAGTGAGGAGGTTGGAGAGGCACATGGGCCAGTCCTGGAGGTTGGGGAAGGGTCAGACAAGGGCTCTGCGTCAGAGGCAGAGATGGAGCCAAGGCCGTCTGGCAGTTCTCAGCTGTCTTCGGAACTAGACAGCAGTGAGACAGAAGAACAGCTGGAGCCTGTTCCCAGTGTGAGCATGCGCAGAGCTGCCAGAAGAAAAGAACAGCTCAGAAATCAGAGTAGACTTGGGAGTAAAGCCACAGGTGGATGGTGAATGGCCCCTTCTATAGGAAATAGAAGAGGAGCAAAAGGGGAGTGGGCTTTTGCAGGAAACAATTCATTCATTTGTTTCAGGAGTGTGAAGATCTGTCCGTGAATTTCAGAGACTCTGTGCCAAGTCTTTCCTTGCACAGCACTGCGTTTGGAAAATATTTACATGACAGCTTTCCAAGCTAGATAAGGTCTGTGGTCATAAATTCACATTTGAAAGACTGTTTGCCAGGCCTTTGCTGAATGTGAATGGCAGGAACTCACATTTGTTTAATAAAAGGGGTTTTGTCGGGACCAGGAATTTGCTTCGTGCTTTTTGGAAAAGTCTAGGCCAGAACAGTGAGGGTCGAGGGCCTACTGCGTGATGTCACCACTGGCTTCAGCAGGCTGCTATGGAAGACTGGATGGACCTTCAGCAGTAGGTGAGGAAGCTTCAGCTCCATCGTGACTGGATTGATTACCCTAACTACAGGGAACGGACCCAGGAATTTTGTGCCCAGCTTTCTGCATGGCAGTTTCAGTTTCAAATATTTTGTGGAGATGTACATCTTCTTTCCTACATGGAATGGTTTTTGTGGTAAGCTTTTCATAACCATGTGGAGTTTCTGGGTCTTGGCTGCTTTTAGCAATGCCCACTTCACTATGCCCCAGACTCCATGCAGAGTATTGAACCACTCGGTCAGGCTAAACAAGGAGGGGGGCACCTGAGGGAACGTGGGAATCAGGACAAATTCCACCCAGTTCACCACCTTGAAGGGGGTATGGCTCGTACTGCTGTGTATGGCATTGTTGTATGCCACCTCTGCAAACGGCAGAAGCTCTGCCCAATTAGTCTGCTGGTAGGTGATGTAACATCTTAGGTACTGTTCTGTTGCAGAAAATGACAGGCGTTAGACTTCTCAGGATACAGGAAAAGTTTATTTGGCAGCCAGGT